TCAGAATCACCTTCTTTATTTCCCTTCAAAGAACAGCACTAATCAAATTCAAGAACACTATACTTATAAATCTCAAAAGAAAAAAAAAAAAAAAAAAAAAAAACAATAGCAGCATGACAACCAAAAACACAAATCCCATTGGAACATATTTGTTTTGGTCATTGCTTTCAAAAAATAATTAATTGAATACATCTAAGTAAGCAAAGGAGAAAATCAAGTAAAATTTTTACTTGGAATGGAAAGAAGACTAAAAAGCATAAATAAGTGAATAACTTACCTTGAAGTTTTTAGAGAGAAAGGTTTGTGACAAAAAGAGCATTTGTCGGACTCATAAGAGAAAAAAAGAAAGGGCTGAGTGGACGCAACGGTGACTCGATAAGATTAAGATTCAAGTCTGAGATAATGTTAAAGACTAAAGAGAAATGTTGAGTCAAAACTTGAAAGTCAAAGGCTATGGACTATGGAGGTTGAAGAGTATGAGAAGAGTTTGAAGTTTGAAGAGTTAGAGTCTTTGAGAGTATTATGGCAAGTAAGAATAGAAAAGGTCAGGAGGTGAGTTATGAGTAGAGTGGGATTATTTTTATTTATAAAAGATGATGAATCGAGAGAATCAATTAATTAATTAGGGAATATTAGTCAATTAGGGAATATTAGTCCATTATTAGAGATTTAGGTGGGATTGGGAATTGAAAAACAAAATAAATAAATAATAAATTAAAATTTTTTAAATTTTTAGATGGGTAAACGGGTCAAACCCGTTAAGCCGATGGGTTAACCCGTTATTGACCCGTGACCTGTCGGGTTCTCTTAACAGGTCATTAACGGGTCACGGGTCATAAATATATGACCCTAACCCGTTTTAAACGGGTGGGTAATGGGCGGGTTAACGGGTTGGGTAAAAAATTGTCAGGTCTACGTGGAACTTGTGATATTGAATGCATTCATTCATTTAATGATACGTGAAAATTGTATAAAAAAATGAAACAAAAATTTTTTTTTTTTTGGCCCCCCTTTTTTAAAATTTTTATTTTTTTTATTTTTTAATTAAAATTTTCATTTTTTACTTTTTTTTATTTTAATTTTTTCACTTTTCATTTTTTGGTTTAATTTTTTTTTGTCACTGTTGTTTTGTTCTCATTTTTTTTTTTATATAGAACTTTTGTGTTTTTTGTCTTTTTATTTTAAAAAAAAAGAGTTAATAATTGATATATTTATTTTAAAACTAACAAAATTAATATTTTTAAATAAAAAATACAAGATTAACAACTTTTATTTGCAACTTATCCTTCTTTATGGAGAATATTGGACCCAGTCACCCAGGTTTCTATTTGCCAATTTACCAACTAGCCAACAACTGCACTGTCGTTTAGGTAAACTCCCCCAATCACAGGCCACCCTCAAGCGAAGCATATATATATATATATATATATATATAAGATTAATGGATTAATTAAGTTGTCATATACTCACCATTCTCAGTTTTAAATTTTTATGGAGTACGTACATGTTCAGCGCTAACATTTGTTTAGTCACAAACATATTATACACACCTTAATTAAAAAATTAATTTCTTATATATATATATTAGTTCCACAATGAGAGGCAACCTTTTCATATTTCTTATCTCATCTCACCTGCATTCCATGCGACTCGAATTGATGACTTTTTACTTTTAGCGAAAAAAAATTACCATTAAATTATTTAAGTCGTTGGTAACAATTAATTTCTTTTTAAAATAAATTACCTAGCTATATATTCGTATTTATTTTAAAGGTGAATTATAACAAATAAAACGTAAGGTAAATCCTCTTAATAGTGATACAGTTCCTTAAGTTATGCATTCATGCGGTCATATATATGATTTGTTGGTGGTGATGGCTTGAAATTATGAAACCGCCATTCCGCCATTGAAATTCAAAACTTCTTCTTTTCCCCCTTTTACATTCCACCATTATATAAAAGGTAATGCATTAATTTTTGCTTCATCCAAATGTAGGTTACCTATCTTTCAAACTCTTTACCAATATCTTTCAAAATGGATTTTATTAATTATGCTTCTGACGACAATCACAAGGGCTATTTTCTTAAGTAACTTCTCTTAGTTAGGTTTATTTGGTTAAGCAACCATGTATGTGTTTTTCACACTTTTGGAAAGCTTGAAATGCCTTCCCTTGAACAAGTTCCTATTTTTATACTGAATTTACGAAGTATTGGCCCCACCTTTGCCCTTTTCTTTGGTTTACCAAATTCTCTAAGCAATGAAACTTTGAATTTTGGAGAAGAATTGGTCACTGATAATACCAAAATAATATACGTAAAGGGTATTTCCCTAGTTATTATGACTTTTAGATTCAAGTTATAGTTAATAACTTAATTAATTTAAGGGTGATTTTCTTTTAATAAAAATAAAAAATGTTAAGATTGAGTTGTATAACATGTAGGTGGAATACATTAAGAGATGACAGAGTGTTCTCTTACATTGTATAATCTAAAATTAAAAAAAAAAATCAAGTTATAAATATCATTAAAATAGAATGAGAAAAAACAAAAAATTGTTTTTATTTAGTTTTTGCAATATAAGATTTTTTAACATGTGCCTTAAATTAAGCATCATTAAATATAGTATC